TCTTGGAGGTGAGATTTATCAGGACTTTCTCACTTTACTTGAATTCCAAAAGAAGAGCCAAGAACTCGACCTTGCAGTATTGGACAGATTGTTGGCAGGGCTACCGGCTGTCGTGGATGAATCGCGCCACCCCGCTTTTATGGAGACAGTGGCAATTGAAACTATTAGTGGATTAGTGGCGAAAGCGGTGGTGGATATGGAGAAGAAGGGCGAGGTAAGAACATTCTGGCGGCCCCCTCTTTTGACAAGTACTAACCACGTCAAACAGCATGTGGATTTACCAAAGGTTTTGAGACTGCCCCTCACCGAGGATAGATACTTGAAGCATACCATCGATCTAAGTTTGGGATACTACAGAAGTGTAATGGCTGGTGGAAGATGATGAGTCTTGTTACTTTTACATAAATTGCATAAGACCGTGTGAACACCGGGAGAAGACGCAAATCTCATTTCATTGTTACGGTCATTCAGAATGATACGATACCTACGAAATTCAAGGGATTTGAGGGATAGCGAGCAAGGGATGGAGGATTAAGAGAAAAAGCCTTGGTAAAACCAACTGTAGTATATCTTGTAATTAGCATAGCGAATAGGTAGCGTTTTAGATAGGCACAACATCATGCATGAAATGGCAATTTTTCTGTTCATGCGCCTGTATCTTCTCTCTCGTCGTATCTTCAGAAAGAAGGGCGTTTAAGAAATGTGACGTATTTACAAAGTCCTACTTGTAGATTAACATTTTCTTTGATGGTTTCACCACATTATAAAAGAATAATTCGGTGGCTGGCCAATGTAACAATTTTATACTTCCTTCCTTAACACTTCTTTTTTGGAGTAAAGCCAAATTCAAGCAAGGGAAGTCGAAGACCTCCTACAGACAAATGCTTTGATCGCCCGATCTTCCTCTTTCTGTTCCTTCCATCTCTCACGTCACCATATCCAATCGTCTAAAGCCATTGCATTAGTTCCATATCTTCCAATGGGAGGAGCTAGCAGCACGATTGGTCCAGCCACGCAGTACAAGTGGTACATGATGCTCTCCCTGCATCATTTGGTCATCTCGGCCAATCATTGACTGAGACGACAAGAGATGTATCCCTGAAACACACACCAATACTGGGATTAGGCTAGACAGGGGTGAAGGATGGACAACGCAGCAAGATTTGGATTGGGTAGGAGGGGGATGATGAGGGGGAATTTGGAAGAGAGGGGAGGGAGATATTGGAGAGGGAGAGGGAGAGGGAGAAGTCGACAAGTCAGTGTTCTTATTGCAGTAGTGGTGGTGGTGGTGGTGGTGGTGTACAACTAGATGAAGAAGCCTGGAATAGAATGAAAATGGATGAAAGTACAGGAAACTTAGGAAAGAAACGTATGGGTTCCAGGTTATTTCTTCCTCTCTATATTCTATGGGGGATTTATCAGAATGGGAGTATTAGATGCCTACCAAGGTAAGGAAAGATCCAGGTGGGTATAATGAGATATCTGTCAGATACACTTCAAAACCAATCAATAAAAGACATTATATGGAATGAATTAGTTCCAAATAGTGAAATCGATTGTATTAGTTTCTACTGCTGTGCTTATTTCTATTTCGAGACCAATGTATACTATACTCATATTATCATTCTTTCCTCTCTCTCTCCTCCCTTCTCTCTTCTCCCTTCTCTCCCCCAATCACTTTAAACACGAATGCGCAATGGGCCTTTGCCAAAAGACATAACCCCACCAAAATACCGTGCACTATACCTATTTCCCTCTATCCGTGTCCTGTACACACACCACCACCTGCCTGCACCACCAGTCTGCCCACCCACTCACTACCAGTCTGCCCACCACCCATTACCACCCATTACCACCAAGCCCACTTTAGTATCATATCCGCAATTCACTTCTTCCAACCCACCCACTTATCCATTATCGCATCGCTATCAGTTCAGTCACTTCCAGACAAAACCAACATAACTTTCAATCCATCATTGGCGCATTCATATATTGAACAGAATAACAGTCGCATACTTGTATGAATTAAAGTCATAAATTCACAAAGTTTACGCGACTGTAAACAGCTACTCAAGGCAGACGTGTTTTCGGATTGATATGTCCATATTAACTATCCAAAACCAAGTCCATTTTACACTGATCAACCTAAATATCGCGCCTAGTACCTTCTTGATTGTCATAATCATATCGTTCGCATATCTCTATCTCATACAGACTAAAGCTCTGCCCATACCAAGTTGGAGCGCATCAACCGACATCGTGCAGAATAATAGAAATCATGGGCACTACGATAGAGGAGCTAGAAGGAATGTTCGACGACCACCCCTCGTTGAACGCATCTTTGCAGGACTTCGAACAAGGAAACATAGAGATAGATCACAACCCACCTCGCCGTTTTGGTTATCCTTCCCAGCATTCGGGCTTCCGCAGCGACACGGACTCGGAGGACGACCTAAGAGACTCGGTATCCAGAGGTGGTTACAGTCCGCCAGCATGGAGACGAGAGGAAAACGGCAACCGAAGCAGCGGCTTTTGGAATCGGCATAGTAATATATTGGGAAAGAGGCACAGGGAACTTTCGAGAGAAAGTAGTCCGGAATATGAGAGTGCTGATGAGGGAGGTGGTTCTGATCCGACTCTTGCCGCGGCGGTGAGAACCAGATTACCAACCGGTTCAATATCACCGGAAAAGAAGAGAAGTCCCTCGCCAGGTCCATATCTTTCGAGAAATGAAGATTTTGGAAAGACGTTTGGCGCGGTAGTTAAACAGGAGGATAGCCACGAAGGCGCGCTGGTACCTTCGCTGGAGAACCCCAACAACTGTATGAAACTTGGAGTAAATGTATTGGTTCAAATGCTGATGTATAAAAAGTTATTCGATTCGCATTTAAAACCGAAGTACAACATCGTACAGAACCGTTTGAAGCTGCATTTTCATCTATTAGTTTAAAGTTTGAGAAGATCATGAGTTCATGGGCTTCCGTGTGCAGTGCGCTTGTGATAGCGATTATTTCCATCTTGACATTACGAACACTATTCCAACCTTCACAACTACCTCCAGTGCCCGATCTTATCAAGGTCGCGGGACTCGCAAGAGCTTTTGAGCCTCTAATATTCTATTCAGAAAATGGGATTCAACAAATCGGCGATATACAGCAGACTGGGATTGCGGTCTGGGATCTTGGTGAGAGTGTACGCTCAACAAATATGACATCTGCGCCTGTCATTGTTGCGGAACTCGATGAACTGAGTGAAACCCTCAAAACTTTGTCTATTGAGTTAACCAGGTTCTTTGCTAATGTTGACGGAGATGTGGATGGGTAATGCTTTCTATTTCTGTTGCTTGAAATCATCTGACATATCTAGTATCTTGATCGTTATGGATTGGGCGAAACGAGAGCTTGCTCAACTAAATCATCTGCCGCCATCTCCACTCAATTCAGCCTTTGATAATATACACACACTTCTTAGCCGAATAGGAGTTTTCGAAACTCCTACTGGAACACCGACCAAAATTGGCGTTGTCGCAACGAATATATTCGGCATGTCATCGCCTCAAAGAACACGTCAAACACTTCAAAGAACATTCAACGAATTCTTATCAGTGCTTGAAGATGCTATCAGTTCTGAGCTTAATCATGCTCTCCATCTCTTTGCCATCTTCGAAAAGATCGATCATCAATTCAAAGCATTATCTCGTAGCGCATCCCGCGAGCTAGATACTCAAGAAATGGATGAAGATAAACTTCTCTCTTCACTTTGGACCAAACTTCTTGGTCCCTCCTCCAGTACCCTTCACAAATTCGAGAAGAATAAAAAGCTTCTCGCCAATATCCGTTCTAAGACTATTCAAAACAAATCTGTCCTTCTCGATCATAACGGCAAATTGTTAACATTACGAGCAAATCTAGATTATTTAAGGAAAAAGCTAGTCAGTCCGCTCGTAAGAACGAACAGTAGTACGATTCGAGTCGAAGAGCAAATTCAAGGTCTAGAAGACGCGAGTGGATATTTAGGAAAGGTTAGAGAAACGCAAAAGGGGAAGTTGATGGAGATGCTGTATGGCGCAGGAAGTGGAAGCGCAAGGAGAGTCGCGGGAGCAAAGGCGGTGGAAATCGAAGGGAGATGGGAATAATTCTGTTTGGTTTCCTTTTCTTTCCTCTTTTCTCCTTCTTATCCTTGCGCGGGAGTATAAGCGGATGAATGGATGGGACCAAATGTATCAGTGAAGGAGGCTCACTTACTGCTTGCTTTGCTTGCTTGCTACCCGGACGGTGTTTTTGGTGCAGTAACGGGAAGGTAGATAAATGGATGGGAAGCATGGTGCATGGACCGATATCATTGATGGGATTGGTTAGGTGGCGTGTTTTGATCGATTGGGTTTTTCATCTTTGTAGCTGCATCATGGATTGGTGTTTGAGGGATATGCTGTTTTGGTTTGAGGCGTTTTGTGGGATACGTTTGGGATGGGATGAGGTGGATTTTATAAATTTTAGCATGTATTTACCACTCATGTATTCTTCTCTTCTCGTCTGTGTTTTGTTTTGCTTCGGTTTATTTTTACTCTTGTGGTGCATAGTGGATGGATGGATTGGTGTTGGATTCGGTTGGGGATAGGATGGAGCTGGGAGAGTAGGTAGGATGGGGGAGCAGGGAATGGAGAGTACATAGCTTAGGAATGCGAATCAGGAATATACTTTATATCTATCTATTCATCTTAGTGCGATCGATTGTTTTTGAGTGATACTCGCAAGTGAAGTAATGATATCAAGGAAGAGGGAGAAGATTATGAGTCGAAGAGAAATAATCCGGATGTGTATCTGAAATTAAGACAAAGGTATTCTCATTGTATTTGTTCCTATCCAGTGTCAAATGGCTTCCGAAGAAGCGAGGTAACTAACTATCCTGTTTGCATATATGTTATATGTTATCCATAGCCCGATACCACACCCACATCCACATCCGCAATCCACAATCCACGTCGGCATCCACAACCAACAACTCAACTCCAGTACGCCCTTTGATATCCATTTTAACGCCCTTTTTAATTTCCTTTCCTACAAATTATCCTCTCCGCTTTCCAATTCCTAATTAGGGTCTAACTCCTAAACGCCAATCGTCCATGCATCGTGTCCGAATCTTCACCGCGCATCTCCTGCTTCAAATTCTGCTTTGTATTCAACGCCGGATCAGATTTCTCTAGTCTCTCTTCTCCCTCTCCCTCTTCCTCTACATGTTCCTCTTTTATCTGTTCCATCTCTGACTCCTGAATCATATTTGGTGCAAGTTCTTGAGTCGTCTGTGTTTGAGGAGACTCGGAATCGTGGAGAGAGACACCCGAGTCGATGTTTTTGCCACTTGGGGTGTATTTTTCGTCGGAGATTTCATCGTCGGTCTCCATATAGTCGTTGTTGTTGATGTCGGTGGGTTTGAGGAGGGATTTTTGAAAGGGTGCTTCGATGGACCAGTCGGTTATGCACTAGGCAGGGGAGGAGGGTTAGCGAGGGAAAAAGGTGAGAATAGAGATAGGGATATGGGATGATAGGAAATAGGAAATCTGAAAGGTGGGGGAGAGCATACCTCAACATCTAATTCTGGGCATCGATATCCGTAAATCTTCCACTTTCTAACCCAGTATTCCTCGGCTTCTTTGCTGAATCGCTGGGGTACCAAGAGTATTAGTCGCCTGCTTCATGCGTCTTTTCTTTTATCTTCTTCCACAAAGTGTAGGAAACAAGAAACAACATGTACATACCTGTTTCACCGCGTTTCTCAACACTTCCTTCATATCTGCTTCTACCTCCTTAATCGTCATAAGAATTCTATCCTCACCAAGCATACTTCTCAAGCCCACAAAATTTCTCATCACATCCCTCTTCGATCTCATCTCATCAAACATGCCTATCAAAAGCTTACACCACGCGCCCTCCATCTCGGCTCTCCCAATAACCCTCGCGCTCTCTTTCCCACTATCCTCTCCCTCCTTTCCATCCCCCTTTCCCTTTCCTTTCCTATTTTTACTCATCCCCAACCATCCATAATAATTATCCACCTCCAAGCAAAACTCTATGTACCGATCTTTATACGCCGCGAATTTGAGGAATACAGCGGTGTGAGAGGGATAGCGTGGTGTGATGGCTTCGAGAATTTCTGTGCAGGGGATCGACCAGAGACGTGCCCATGGACGGTAGACGAGGGTGGGTCGACCGTAGATAGAGAGAAATTCGGGTGAGAAGTCGATAGTGTGGTATTGGGATTCGAGGACGCGGACGCTGGCGGAGACGAGAAATTGTTGGTCGGTTGAGGGGGCGGAAACGGGTGGGTAGAGGGTGGTTGACATTTTTGAGATGGGGTCTTGGTGTGGTGGTGGATATCTTTTTGTATTTGAGAGGTTGCTTGACAAAGACTGATGTGATGGTATGTATGTATGAAGACTTTATTGAACTTCTCGAGTTCGAGATAGAGGTGGAAGAATCTCTGAGAAGAGCTTTGTGGTGTGGTTTAAATAGAAACCAGCCTCGTTTGTTCGGTACAGCCATTGGAAGATCGTGAGATTGGATTGGATGGTGGTATTCACTTGAGTTTTGTAGATGCGGAGTAATACATGAAGTGAATGATCTAGTGATAGTGAGTAAGATGAAGTGAGAGGTTTGATATCAAGTGGCTAGTGAGCATTCACTTACCTTCATCTTGGGGAGATTGCTGTGGGCTTCCTGTGACGCATTGATATCGAAAGATTCAACTGTCACTTGACAATCATTCACTTCATATTTCGAATCATGTGAGGAGACCCAACAGCAAATGATCCTCAACCATGTCCTGCTCATCTTCTCAACCCATTACGGCGCCCATGCATTCATCTGTATAGATCAAAGAACTGCACTCACCTTCAACAAAGTGCAATGTCCAGATGGCTCAGTGGTAAAAACACATTGGGTCTTTCACATCCCCTCAAACGGGACCTCTGCTTCACGTCCGAAGACTTTGTCCCTTCATGGACCAGCTCGTCTGGTTTGGTTTAATTCAAGTTGTGTGTACCGACTGATTAATCTTTTGGTGTTTTTGGTTATGATAGAATTTTGGGGTGTATCCTTTTTGTGGGGAGAGAATGACTTTCGTCTGGACTATTTTAGAAGGATAGTATGCTTTTGGTGTCATGCTGCTGACTTTTGTGAGAAGCACCAGAGAGATGCGGCATGATGAGTGAGTGTGAGATGTGTGCAATTTCGAGAGTCTGCTGTCTTGGCTTCTTGAGACTCAATCAATATTGAATAATGGTAACTTTCAATCCTACCAGAAGCTGGGGAACCGCTTGATAGTTCCTCCCAGCTCAACACACGGTCCATGGTTCTAACCAGTATCTCAACCTCGATATCTCAGCGCATCACTTAGGGAGAGGAAACTAGCTTATAAGAACAAAGCAACGAAGTCATGTGTCATGGAACCAATCAAGGCAGGTGCGCTAGTTGTTTTCCCTCGACTTTAGTAATCGTACTAAATTAGACTCCTTTTCAACCCACACAATTTTACATTTCCCCAAAATGTTATCTCCACAAACTCTCTTCCAACATTACAGAATTTTCAAAACAAAACTCAAGATGGAGTTGAATGATGTTGCGAGTATTGCGAGTAAGTAAAGTCATTTACTTTTTACTCTTGATCACAATACTAGTGATCACTTGTATAGAAGTAGAAAAGGATGATCCAGGTCCATCTCCAGAAACCGAAATCGACAATCCATACAGGTATATTTTTGCGACGGAGGAGCCAGTATTCCATCGATTTCCCAAACTTCCTCAAGAGGTTCGTGATATGATTTGGGATTACGCTGTCGACCATAACTCCACTTCTGAGGTTGTCTCTTTCTCGCCTACTTTTTTCAACTCCCCTCTCCTCTCTCAAGTGTGCCAAGAATCAAGAGCGGCCTGTTTCAGGAGATACTCTATTTTAAGACATCCAGGTGGATCTGGCACGGTCGAGTTGGCTCTGTGTTACAAGGAATTTGACATGTACGCATGGATCGACTATGAGCGTGATGTACTCTAACTGTCTTGGAGATCTTGCGATTTGGCGATGAATCGGAGAAACATGTGGAATTATCTCCCGTCTATGAGGCGATCTTACATAGATCCATTACTTCCAGTCAAAAACCTTGTCAGTATACCATGAATCGGTTTTGGATGAGCTGCAAAATTGCTACATACTCGCACTGAACTCGTATGATTGTCTAGGGTATTGACGAAATGACATTCTGGGGATTTATAAAGGATTCTGTTGACATATGGAAAAGAATCACTGAAATCTGCCCAAAAATGACGCATTTGAAAATAGTCGAAGGGGGTGACAAATCAATTCGGCAGAAAATACCTCATAAGCGCTGCTTACAGCGCATAACAATGGGCCAATTGTGCCGAGGCCGTCTTCTCAGTTACATTCTTTCCGATATGGAAAGGTATACTGCTAATCATGGCCCATTGACTTATGAGGTCGAATTTGTGAAGCCCGCTCCCGACCCGAAATTAGAGAGGAAGATCAAGAAGCACCAGAAACAAGAAGAAGAAGAGGAAGCCTTGAGAGAAGTGATGTATGGGCCGATTGAATGGTTCGAAAATGCATACGAGCAGGAATTGAACGAGGCAAAGGCGTTTGAAGAATGGCGGGTGGAGATGTGGATGGAGAAAATTAACGCAAGATTAAAGCAAGAGGCTGCAGAGGAGGTTTTAGCTCAGTGGGAAAGAGAGGAAAATCTCAAATAGGGTTGAGCTAAACACAGAAGGTTTTCCAAGACAATTCGTTCTTACAAAAGAAAAGAGGAGGATATGGCACTCGTATGTTCGCTGTGCAAACCAGAATTGAGCAGGATAAATTAGCATTTTAGCTTACAATTTAATGACGGCCATATAGTCTCATATAATCGCTTCAAAATTGGCCTCAAAATGTTTCTACATAAACTTTAAGATATTCACAACGTGAAATTTGAACAGGAATTGTCTGAAGTATAAAAAGTTTGGAATTTTAAAATGTTAGAAAAATGTTTCATAAATCCGCGAACTGATAGACATTATAAGGAGAGTTTTCATGGCCTTTACTCCTTGCACACTCGTAGTTACTCTACTCTAAGAAAAAATAGAGAAATTCAGCTTCTCGCTCAACATCCTATATATTTCTCAGTCTCTCTTTACAGGTAACCAACCCATCAAACCACCCCCTCTTTCACCAACCCCATCGACCAACCCATTTGACCCGCCCAATAACCTTACCACGTACATCCCCACCTTATTTCCCAGCACACCACAACTTCTTACTATAAACCCATCTTTCGCCCGCTACATCCTCCACCGTATCCGGATTGAACCAGAATTTCTCGCCATGCGCATGGTATGTTACGCCACGGAGACCGACGCCGAGTTCTGCTGCGTATGTACGGTCCTATGTTTCCAAGACCTTAGTGAGTTTTTGGGCTTGGGAAAGGTGTGCTATGCGGGAGGAAAAAGGAGGATGTACTGTATTGTTACCCTTCATTTTCCCCTGCCATAGTTTTTGAGTGCATGTGAAATGCCAGGGTTTCCACTATTTTGTTTGTAGATGTTAGCGTTGTCCTCATGATCTTTCTCAAGATCTCCCATTTCAACCTCGTCATTCTCTACTCATCCACCTATCTCCAGCATCCCTCCTCTTCACACCCTCCCTCCCCCATTCATCTCCACTCCCACTCCCAACTCAACCCCAAAACCAAAGAAAGAAAAACTCACAGCCCACTCCTCCCTCTCCCAATCCTTTTCATTCTCCAACGCCTGCCATCTCCAATGTTCATTATACGTCATATTGATCGAACACGTCTCAACCCCATTATCAATGATCTTCCCCACAAACGGTTTATCGTTATCGAAGGGGAAGGTTGCGTAGTAGACGAGGCACGCTTGAGTAAAGAGAGGGAGGAAAGAAAGGAAGACGACGAAGAGTGAGGTGAGGTGGTGCATGCTGGACGTATTAAAGCTATGATTAGGATTTCTTCAATCGAAAGATATAGGAGAAAGTACATGCGATAAAAGTGGACTTGAGATCGATCAGAGTCAGAGTGTAAGCATCTCACGATATCTTCACATCTATACAACGACCCAAGTTGTAGTCATCCACGCAAGCCAACAAGATTTTCAAGCCTCTAATATGGCGAGTATCAAAACAAACAGAAACAAAATCAAACAAAATCAACCGTAAGAGAAAAGTTTCATCACCAACCACTTTCATAAATAGAACCTCCCAAATATTCTCCTTATGAGTAAAGCTGACGAGTCCATACCTCGATTAGTTTATCCAAGCTCTTGGCAACTTCAGCCTTTCTAGAGAAGGAAGGAATGAAAGATATGTAGTGACGCATTACTTTTTTCCGTACTTTTATCCCTTTTTCAATTTTTGGAGGGATATCGAATTGCCCCTAAAAAGAAAAAAGGGAGTTGTTCGCTTAGCATCATGACTCGACTAATTGCCTAAAGGAGTAACGAGGCTGAAACCTCTCATTTCATCCAATCTCCTGTTTATCTCAAAGATATAGGAAGATAATTTATAGTGTGCTAGACGTGTAGCTGTGTGCTACATATGTACTATCCACTTAATCGAGATCTTACATTACCATAACATGTCACGATAGGCGAAATTGCAGTATGAAAAGGTCTGTATTTGTATTTTAATACTATTTTTTGAAGCTAAGGTTATTGCACACCAAAATTGGAAATGCAAATCAAAAAATTTGCTGTGATGTACGGAAATGTAGAAATCGCTGCAATTATCAAATGAGTGAATAGTAAACGGAAAAAGAAAAGCATCTTTCGCTCTCAACAAACAATCGGCATGGTTGAAAAATGCCTCGACAAATGGAGATGTTGAAAATTGGCGTCTGCTTGCCTATGCACCAAGGCTCTCTGAATAGAAAATGATCCGAAAATCTAAGGATACGACCAGATCTTCCATAAAACAGATTAGTGATCTGCCCAGGAACACATTGAAATGCTTAAATCCAAAACATCGACTCTGTAATATCTTGGTGGATATTAATTCTGCCTTGACCTATTGCACTCGTTGACAGTGTTGAAGGATTTCCAGGCTCTGGTGTAGTCCGGCCTGTTGGAGGATCATACTGATCTGCGAGATACGCTCTCATGCGAGTGCACAGCAAGTCGGCGTAATATGCAGGTGGACATAGACTCACAGCCTTCGTAGCCCTCCCGAACAAGTGACACATATTGTGCGTCAGTTCTTCAAGAGAATCGGCTGAAGTAGTATGAGGAGCCTTAACCTTCTGGGACTTAAAGATTTCGTCTTGAATGACAAAATAATGGCAAGGTCTGGCCGTTCCCATCAGACTTTGATGTGGTTGCAGAAAAAAGTCCCAGTTACGAGATTCGGTAACACCACGATCGACTACAGTTCCGGCGGGACAGTTCGACTTGGAGTCTGCACTGTCAGTATCCTTTGGATAAAATCGCGTATGATGACGCTTGCCACAAACGATTATTGAGATTCGTGGCAGGCTTTTTTTGGTGTAGTCGGCAGGATACTTCTGACGACAAGCATTTCTGATTTTCGGCAGTTCTTGTTCAAGCAATATGTTGTATTGGCCCTCCGACACACCATCTCTATAGATCAGAATATTGTCAGGTAACATTTTATTCTTTTTCTGCCAGATATCCAATTGCCTAATGAACATGGGTTCGAGCTCTGATACCGGCTCTTGACGAGCTTGGCCCTGTAGGCGGCAGATACCGGACCATTGACCCAAGAGTTTATCGGTGCTTGTTACCATAGCAGCAACACTAGGTGCCGTGTCTTTTGACCCTGGAGATGGATGTGTTACGTCAATCCCAACAACCATTGTCTTTCCTTCGTTGATAATCCCAAGCTTGTCGATTGTCTGATTAATGCCTCCAGCCTTTAGATTGAATTTCAATGCGACATTACCGAAGTATTGCGGGTCTCCCTTTGCAAACTTGGAGTGTTGTACGCAAACTGTATGTACACCGGCTCTGGTATCTCCAAACCGCTTTATCGTGTTATAAAGCATTACATCATCCACTGGAAGAATGCACAGAAGAAATTTGGGTTTCTTTAGGTTTGCAGATGTAGACATCATTCGGAACACTCTTTCAATATCAGCAGATGTAGCCGTTTCGTTGCCATCTATATGCTTAGGGCTAGGCGCGGGTCTACCCATCCAACCTTTGACTCCAATTCCTGCACCCTCAAGGTGGGCCCTAAACTGCTCAACTGTGTCGGCCGCATCGTTATGGTTCCATCTCGCACCACGTTTGTCGGATTCAACCACCATGTAAGTCCAGTTACCCAGATCTCCGCAAGTATGGAAACGAGTGTCCCTCATATTCCAAGAACCATCCATAGGTGTTTTGGTCATTGGGCGATGTTGTCTGTTCTTGTAATTGATCACGGGTGGTGGTAACACACGACCTTGAACGGTTATAAGGCTATTACCAACCTGAACACCAAATTTAGGGAGAAGAGGATTATCTTTAGTGTTCAAGCCCAAGACTTGTTTACCGGAGGTGATAATGGACATGGCGTTCGGCTCTGGCCTTCTATTTGCGAAATCCAACATCAAACGAGTTTGATCTCCAAGTAAAGCTTTTTTCACAATCTGGCCTGGCTTTATGATACAAACCTCTACTGGCAGGTAAGATGGGTTGACGTCATTGCCAACATTAACCACAGGAAATTTCGGATCCAAAACAATCTTCGGATATTTGGATTTGAAATAATCATACACGGTAATGTATTTGTTGAGTGTCAAGGCTGGCCTAGAAGCGCCCTGCTTTGATCCGGATTTGGGTGGAGTTTTGGCCTTCGTTGATGGTTGTTCAGCGGAAATCCAGAACTTGACATCTTTTGGCCCAGCGCCATATCTAGCAACCTGTGGGGGATGTTCTTCGGTTCTACCATCACTTGGGCGAGCCAAGTCCCAAATGGTCTTCTCTCGGGGAATGATGATACCGGCCTTGGACTTTTTTGCAGGCAAGTGAGTGACTTCAACCCGCTTTCTCTTTATCTTATCCACAACGCTATGGGCATGACCAAGTCTTTGGAAGAAAATGTTTAATGGTCCACGCTCGAGGAAAACGGAATGAGTGACGTTCACGTTCAACAGAAGTCGACCAGTAGCTGGTCTAACACTCTGATAGAAGCCGCGTATAGCCTCCAATCCATAATTCAGGGTCGTGAAGTTATGCCTGTTTCCTTCTTGAGCTGTGGAGAAATGCCTATTATTTGCAATGGAAACAGTTCCTTTCTGGCTCTTGGCGAAGAATCCCATCACCGTATTCATGGCCTGGATGGCTTCCTCTCTTTGGACTTCTGATACATTAGTCGCAGAGATATTGCCTAAGCTTTGGACGAGATCGGGGATAGTGTAAGACGTTGGAGAGCCGATCCGAACTTTGTAAACCTGGGCATTTGGAACTGGATCGTCTTCCCCTTCGCTTCGCCAAGGAATGCTGAAAAGACTTTCCTCTTTGAAGGGCAATTTGTTCGGTGTGATGATCATCGAAGCATAGTCAGTGGCGAGAGGAATATTTGCAAATTCTGGCAACTCGAGGATGAGCTTGAAAAGCTGCTCCCGTTTCTTTTTTTTGTCGTCCATGCTCGGGGATATGGTGACCGGAAAACGACCTAAAGCAAAACTGGGGCTTGTGTTTAATGTAAAATAGTTAGCATACAGCTGAACTTTTCGACCATTCTCGCCGTATCCTGGGCGAGTAGGAAATCTTTGGTTGAGCGACATCTTATCCAAGGCATTGATCCCGGATAAGCTCTTATGATAGTCATCTTCCATTTTCGCGACTTTTGCATCAGGTGCTTCCGCTGGATAATTAGGATCCCTGCATAAAGTATCAGACCAATGCTCGGAGTACAATGCAACTACCTTACCTGAAAATGGATACCGGGCCACCTCGACCTCCACCACGGCCTCCACCACGGCTACCATAAGTACCACGATTTCCACCATCATAACCACCACCTCGTCCACCACGATCCCCACCACCTCGTCCACCCCGATCTCCACCTCCTCTCCCACCCCGATCTCCACCTCCTCTCCCACCCCGATCTCCACCTCCTCTTCCACCCCGATCTCCGCCTCCTCTTCCACCACGATCTCCGCCTCCTCTTCCACCACGATCTCCGCCGCCGCGACCACCGCGGCCACGTCCGCGTGCAGCTGGGTCAAAAGACATCGTACAGCTCAAGAGAGTTCTCTCAAAGGGAAAGAGCGTTGAGTGAATCTACGAGTAGGTGTCAGAGAGCAGGTTAAGAAGACCAGACATAAAAGACTGAGCGATGAAAGTTACGAAGGTGAGTCTTTGAAATCCTAGAATAGCGAAAGTAGAATTTTATGTTGTAAGTAGGAAATCATGAATTGAGCATGTGCCATTTGGCTACCAAAGCGGGCTTGCTTTGTGAGTGGGAGAAACATGCTGTTTGGTTGAACTGAACCTCAAAGCGTGAAACAGCATAATGTCTTATGAGCATCAAAACATAAAGAGATCATGTATTGTGCGTGCTAATAGAGAAAAATAGAAAATAAATGTGAATTGAAGAATCATGAGTGGTAAGTGGTTGTGTGCCAAAGATGATCTGTAGCGATCAAAGTGCTAATCTTGGAAAGCAGAATTGTGCCACGAAAACACAGTCAAGTTATGCCATGATCGGAAAAATTAGATTTTGAGAGAATGTGAAGCATACCTCTTACAAGCTGAACTGAGCAACAGTCACCACCGATATGGATATACAATTGCGTTGCAGTAAAGACTTTAAGAATGGGTTAATGGTCTGTTGTCTTGTTGTGTTGGCGAGATAAGTAGCAAGAGGAATTCGAAAACGGATGAGGGGTTGGCTTGCTGCAGGAATCGTATTAGCAGACGCAAAGGGATGCATGATGAAGAAGTAATACATGGAGCCTTCTCCCGGCTCAGAGAAAAAGCCGACTACAAGTAGATCTCATACCACCTTTCGATAGCCCAGTTCGAACTAAACTGAGAGATCATTTGATTGCTCAAACATGTAAATGAGATTCGGCAATCAAACAGCATCTCAAACAGCTGGCTCTTTCTCCGGTCGAGAGGCTTTGTGAGAGGCAGAATTGGTTGGCTACTTACTTGTTCGTGATCGTCGAGCTTGTAGCTAGAACTGAAGGGAACAGAGAAACGCTTGGGATTGTCACCAAAATCCAAAAGATAGAACATATGATATTTTAGATAAATAGGTGGTATTGAAATAATAAAATATTCGCGTGGTTGAATAGGAAAAGATGGTTGAGAAGAAAGAAAGAAAGAATTTGAGGAGAACCTTGGACGGCAACGTAACTTCAGCTTACAGCCCTGGCAAGAACGATTGGCGAGGATGCCGTACCATCATTTTGACATTTCATTACCCCACTTTCTCTTTGATAGATGTTTGGCAGAACGATAACGAGTCAAAAAGCGCGATGTAATTTGTGTAGATTTGCCTCACTCAATAAATATGGGACGACGATATTAAGATATCTAAATGCTTCTTTTCTTTCCTATAATTCTAATTCATTATGAAATATGATTGGACTGCTTTTCCCCCTCGATTCCGAGAGTTGAAGAGAAATCTCACCAAAAAGTCAATTCGTGCATTCACCAAAAGCGGGACAACCACAGTACTGAGTACACAGAAACACAGTGTGGATCTTTTTCTACGCGCAGTCACATGCTTGATTGAGGAATTCCCGAGTCAGCAAATCATCATTGTCGGAATAATTGATTGAATGCGATGCGATGGTGATGTGTCAAGCATTCATGTAGCATGACTACAAGTATGCTGCCACCCTGTAGCTCTTTGAACCAAGAAAACTTGTTTTCATTCTCTAATCGCGGCAAGGAAACAGCGAACGAAGAAAGAGTCATCTTTTGGTGCAACATAATCTTGCGCAGCCAGCTTAATTGGTGTCAAGATTGAGAAATGATTGCCACCCTTTCTGTACACGGCAGTAAGTTGACAATATTTGTGGCTTCAAGGTAAATAACCACCGCCCATTGAGGTTGCTATTCACACTGCAGGAGCGGCAAAGGTGACCTCCACTGGAATATGGCGTATTGCTTTATAACATCGAATCATCAGAAGCATTGTAACCAGTTTGATCGTGAATATGCCACCCAAACTCTCATTTGGTCATTTGGCTTCCGTCAATATATTAATAGGAAACAGCCCACAAAAGGTTGCTTCAATTGGCCGTGTGTGAGTAACCACGACTACTGGCTTGAGAATCACACTGCAAAATTGTTTGATTCAATTCAACAACCGAGAATTGCAATAGTGCGAGACGGTATGCCGCAACTGAAGGAGTATCAGAGCCGCCACACACAAGAGCAATCGTTGCATTGGTTCCTCCATACAATATATTGGCACTACCCCGGACTACGGGGTATAAAGTTGGCCGACGAGAATGCTATGCACATCTGTGGCTTTCTTGGCTGGTCGCCATGGCGAATCAAAGGAGCTTACGGACGTTGGGTGAATCATAGGCATACCGTCAACAAAGAAGTCAATCTATTGACAATAACTTCAGTTATTAGCCTCATGGCTTTTTCATACTCATAAAGTGAGTCAGTAAGTTGACGATGTTGCAATTGTTCTTGACTTCTCTGCCGAGCAGGCATTTGTTGCAGCTTCCTTATTGAGATCTCAGTTACCTCGTTGAAGCCTTTAGGCACATTTGACTGCCAACAATTCCATCGATCATCCACGGGAAACATAGCCTGAGGTGGCAAAATCAATACCATCATTCCAAACAAAATCGAAAATAAAGGCAAACCCATCATGGGAGAGCACAAAAACGAGGTTGATATACACAACGCATCAGATTCGCTTTCCAAAAATAACACATCAGAGGAATCTGCGCCAGGGAACATACCTCTACAGAAAGAACTAACTTCGAGCCCCGATGAACTCGATGGCGAAGAGGCAGTTTACCCCCATGGCTTGAAGTTGGTTGTCATTCTCGCCGCGCTCTGCCTCGCAGTCTTCCTAGTAGCTCTAGATCAGACCATTATCGCAACTGCCATCCCAAAAATAACAGACCAGTTCAATAGTATACAAGATATTGGATGGTATGGCAGTGCATACCTGTTGACAACCACGGCTCTACAGCCGACTTTTGGTAGGATATATACTATATTCAGTGTAAGCAAGATAGCATAAACTCTTCATTTTATGGCGTGGGGCTTATGCAATAATACAGATCAAAATAACCTTCATCGTGGCTATTGTCATTTTCGAAATCGGGTAATGTGATGACATGATTATGTAAATGCGCATATGAATTAATAAATAAAATAGTTCCTTGGTTTGCGCCACTGCGCCGAATAGTACTGCATTGATTGTAGGTAGAGCTGTTGCTGGTATAGGTGTCGGTGGTTTGTTCTCGGGAGCGATTGTTATTTTGGCATATTGCTGTAAGTGCAAGGTTTTCTGGATTCGGTGGCTATATCGAATGACTTCAACCGACTTCGTTCACTCTTAGTATATTGCGCTTTTTCTGAATAATGCTGACTTAACAAACAGTACCCCTGCGAAAACGGCCAGCTGCTTTTGGGCTGATGTGAGTGGATACGCTTTTTTCAAAAATGAATCGGTAGCATTTCCAATGGTTTTACTATGATTACTGACAGGATGCAAATTCAGCGGAGGAATGTGGGGGATTGCTTCGGTCGCCGGACCATTACTTGGAGGCGTCTTTGTAAGTTCAGTTTGACACTTCACGAGAGCAGATACTGATCAAAATAGACCGACAAAGTATCTTGGCGTTGGTGCTTTTACATCAATCTACCTATCGGCGCCATCGCTATTGCTGTTATAGTGGTCTATCTCAAAATCCACCGCGCCAACAATCCCGAGAACCTCACCATCCTTGCTCGTGTCATGAAGCTCGATCTCATCGGCACTATCATTATCATCCCAGCTGTCGTCTGCCTCCTACTCGCTCTCCAATGGGGCGGTACGACATACCCATGGAGTTCTGCTAAGATCATCGGTCTTCTTGTCGGCTCCATCTTGCTATTCATCCTGTTCATCATTTCCCAAATCGTTCTTGGCGACAAAGGTATTCTGCCCCCTCGCTTTTTCAAAAATCGTAATACATTACTCGCATATGTCTTCGCGTTTCTCTTCGGTGCAGGCTTTTTTGCTTTAATCTTCTACTTGGCAATCTATTTTCAGTCCGTCAAGGGCTCTTCTGCTACTAGAGCTGGCATTGAACTTCTTCCCCTCTTGATATCCACTGTTCTGTCCTCCATAGTGACTGGAGGTCTTATCACTGTAATCGGATATTACACTCCCGTGATGATTTTCTGTATGATACTGTTCGCTATCGGGTCTGGCCTCATCACTACCTTCTCTCTCACCACGCCATTTGCTTCGTGGTTCGGATTCCAAATCATAACCGGTATTGGGATTGGCGTTGGTTTTCAAGGCGGTGTTCTGGTAGTCCAGACTGTTGTTCCACTGGTCGACGTTCCAGTCGGGACAGCCTGTGTGTCGTTCTTCCAATCCCTGGGCGGCGCTCTCTTTATATCTGTCTGTCAAACTCTCTTTCAAAATGGTTTAAAATCTGGAATAGAAAAGTATGCTCCACAACTTGATCCTCAGCTATTCTTACACAGCGGAGCAACGGAAATTCAGCAATTACTGGCACAATTAAATCAAGGAGAAGCAATAGGTGCTGTGCGACAAGCTTATGTGGAAGGCCTTACGCGTTGTTATTGGGTGACTACTGCATGTGCGATTGGCAGCTTTCTGGCGGCATGTGGACTGGATTGGAAGAGTGTGAAGAAAGGACATGGACAAGAAAAGGAAATAGAGAAGAGAAAGGAAGAGAAGAACATGATTTCAAACGGTGGAGAGTTGGCGCTGTAAGATAGGGATAAGTTGCGTCGTGCACTTGACAGTTCAGACTTTGCCATTCATTCGTAAAAAAATGTATTACTAATAGAGCATCTACTCAATCAAGCTTTAAACTTAAAGCTCTTCTAATATAGCACCATGAGTCAAGTCCTTAAAATCATTTGATTTCATGTCTCAAGTTAAATGTTTAAGGATATTATAAAACGTCAAGCCACAAGGGACTCTTTATATCAAAGTGAAGTCAGGCATTGATGTGTACTTTCGAACAGTAAGGTAGGGATATCAAACCCACTTCATAACACAAAATCATACATACATCCGAATGCGAGGATACATTGAAGATCATCCCATATCGCAGGAAAAACAAATTAAAACGAACAAACCCAAACTCTATCAAATTTCCAGAATTCAATGCTCATTCGTGCACACACCACCCCCTTTTTTTCAGAATACAGCCCAAGCCCCTCCTATTGGCGCGATAATCCTCCCCCGTTCCCCGCAAAGATCCAAACCATTTCACCGACGTTTCTCTCCAGCTTCTCTCGTTCCTGGTCTAGGATCACCCCAGACTCCAGATTATGGAGGTTTGGATTTCCCCACAAATTCTGCCTGAGTGTTGTCTAATGAGATCTCATCTCAAGCTGTGAAATCAAACCATCACAGAATACAATGCCAGAAACAGAGATAAATCTAGATCTCGTGTTTTGGTTGAATTGCTCCTTAATCAAATAAAGTTTGTAGTGACACCGCGTATTGCACCTAATCCAAGACATTAATGTCAATCTAAGCATCAGCCATTCCGGATATACCGGTAGAATTATATAATCATCCAAAAGTTTAAATCATATATGATTCGCCCAACCGTAATTCCGGTACCTGACTAGAAAATGGTTCGTCCGAATCCTTATCCTACTTGGCATCCCATAAACCATGCATTTAGGCTCAAACTAGCAGCAAACAAGCTCTTAGCTGCAAGCTTTCCAGACAAGGGTATTTATCTACAGGCAAAAGGAGACTTCCAATCTCAAATGATATCACCGGCAATGGCGGAGACGCGTGTATGTGCGAGCCGGTGAGAGGGGAAATAATGAAGCTACTCCGTAGACCTGGGTCATGAATTATTCCGAAGTATCGGCAAGCTGCAATCCACCCATGGATGAAGTTCTCTATCAAAGCTTGGATTCGTATTTAAACCATAAAGTCCCCTACTCGGCCTACATCCATTCGTTCTTTCTTTGCTGAAATCCAACTGTCTTTTCTGTTTCCAACTGACCATCAAAAGAAGTCTTCACAATGGTTCGCCCGTCATTATTTCTTGCTTCTCTGCTTCCAATCGTCACAGCAAGCTGGGACATCAACAACGAGGCGCAAAGACATGCTTGTCAAACACCCTCGAAAAATCCATTGGATGGTTGTGATTTGCAAAAGACGAAATATGTAGATTTCGTGGGCAATGATCCAAATTTCAAGACGGTGCAGTCTGGTATGTAGTTGGAATGCTCATAAGAAATTGAGTGTGAAGTGGTAGGGCGGAGTAAAGGCTAATTATGGATGATTGTAGCTGTGGCAAGTTTGCCAAATAATACTGATACATATGTTATCCTTATTGCATCCGGAAACTATACAGAGCAGGTGAGAATTCTGCATGATTCATTTCTTGGACCCAACCTCTTCACATGCTAACGTCGCACTGTAGGTCAACGTCACTCGTAGTGGTCCCACATATCTGCTCGGCGAAACCACAAATCCTTACAATCAATCTGCGAACACCGTCAATATCATCTGGAAGGCGGTTGCTGGTACTGGGGATAATGCTTACACATCTACTCTGACCGTTGCACCGACACTCAATGCATCATTAACTGGAAGCGGACCGACTGGGTTTACTGTCCCACCAGGAACACCATTTGGATGCACAGATTTCAGAACATACAATCTGAATTTCATCAATGATTTTGTGCCATACTGTGAGTTGCTACCCTTCGCAGGGAAGAAAAAAGAGAGAGTTGAAGAAATGGTTGGAAGAAAGGGAAGAATCAGAAAGAAAACGTTCTAATAAAGTAATAGCTGATGGACCTTCCCTTGCATTGAGCATAAGTTACGCAAACGGTGGCTTCTACTACACCGGCTTCTATAGCTACCAAGATACTGTATGTCCATCTAGCTGCTCATAACCCTCTTCATTCCTTCATACTAACACATCCAAGGTTTACGTGGGCAAACTATCCAACTCCTACATGTCTAAATCTCTTGTCGCCGGACAGACCGATTTCTTCTACGGCTTCGGAACTCTCTGGGTCACTAACACACAAATCTCACTTCGATCATGGCATGTATACATCCATCCGCCTTGGCAACAAGAAGCTGACTGATTTCAGTGGTGGAGGAATTACCGCATGGAAAGGATCCAACACGACTTTTGAGAACAAATACGGAGTGTATATTGTCGATTCAACTGTGCAGAAAGCAAATAGCAGCTTAAACATCACAGGAAAATGTCCACTGGGCAGACCTTGGGTACGTTTTCTCCACAATCTATATCCTCTACCAAAAATGCAAGCTAATCATGATTCAATAGAATGCACAAATGCGATCTATCTTCGCCCGCACCTACCTCGATGATTCGATTCTCCCCGCGGGTTATATCGATTGGGCATCTCCCCGCTACAATGCTAATAATGGTAAATATAGCACCGTCCAAGCTGAATATAAGAATTATGGACCTGGATACAACGCAACTGCACGAGCTCTTTCGTTGTTCGATGTCCAATATAATGACAGCCAGTGGGCTCCTTACAGTAGTCCAGCGAAAGTTTTCCAGGATCCTCAAGGAAAATTTGGGGATGTGAGCTGGGTGGATTTCAACGTTTAATTTAATTAGCGATGGGAGAGATCGAGTTACGTGATACGTGAAGTATATATAATGTTGAGCAAAGAATAGATTATTTGATAAAAGCTGTTTCCGTAAAGTATGGAGGTGTATTTTGTGATCCAACTGTTGGTTGCCTTGCTCACCCTCACTTAGCACCGCAAAGTAGCAGAACTACCAGAAAAACATCAGAATCTCGGTTGAGATTCAAGATCAATCTGATTTGGAAGTTTCGGGATAATTCAAGAGAACTCAAGATTTAGAAGTATCTAGTTGTCGACTTACAGCTAAGATAAGTTTTAGATAATACATCGTAAAATTACATTCTTATAGTACGACGCCCATGACTAAGCAGTGCCTTCCCCACCCCATACCGGGAAACCCGAGCTAAGATACCACTAGCGCTACGAAATCACTTTACGCGACCCTCGATAATCAGATCGCGTTTCCTCAACATACAAAGTTACTACATAATAATTTCCAGTCTCATTCACTATTCTTCAACAATTTGGCAATAATAACGACAAAAATCTCAGAATGGCTTCTCTCCACGATGTTGCAGATAAAAAGCCCCCTCAAATCAATCCATACGAAGTTCTTGGTATTGAGAAAACTGCCTCTGAAGATGAGATCAAACGCGCATATCGCAAAAGTGCTTTGAAGCACCATCCAGGTATGTTGTAACATTTATTGTCACGATTCTATTACTACAAACACATAACTCATATGAGCTTCTCTATTTGGGGCTGTCATCTTTGAGATAGTTTCACAGGCCCACTGCATAAAGTGGATTTAGACAACTAACAACCTCCCAGACAAAGCTCCAGAACATCTCAAATCTGATTCGCACACCAAATTCCAAGAAATTGCTTTTGCATATGCTATTCTCTCCAATCCAAATAGTCGCAAACGCTATGATCGTACTGGATCTACTTCTGAGTCTGTTGATGCTGATGGATTCTCCTGGACCGAGTTTTATTCCGAGCAATACAAAGACGTTGTTACTTCTGATGCCATTAATCAATTCGCTAATGTTTACAAAGGTTCTGATGAGGAGAAAGATGATTTGCTGGCAGCTTATACCAAATACGAAGGAAAATGGGGAAAGATGTATCAAGTCATTATGTTAAGTGATCCAGTTGAGGATGAAGAACGATTCCGCGAGATCATCGAGGAAGCAATCAAAACTGGAGAGGTCGAGGAATATGCCGTCTTCAGGAAGGAAACTCAGGCTTCGAAGGATAAAAGAATGAAGAAGGCTAGAGCCGAGGAGAAAGAGGCTGCGAAGGCTGCGAAACAAATTGGTGTTGATAAATTGTTGAAGGGATCTAGTGGGGATGTACCGGAACAAAGTAAGAAGCCAAAGAAAAGTGTCCCTGGTCATATGGATGACCTGGCGGCTATCATTCAGGCCAGACAGGCTTCAAGAGGTGGCTTCTTTGATAATCTAGAGGCAAAATATGGTGGAAGCAAGTCGACAAAGGGCCCTGGTGAGCTAAGTGAAGAGGAGTTTCAGAGAATTCGATATGGTTTAGGCAAGAGCAAAGATAAAGCCAAGGGCAAGGGGAAGAAAAGAGCAGCTGACTCGGAGGATGAAGTTGAGGAAGATGAAAAACCGGCACCAAAGAAGAAGTCATCAAGAGGCAAGAAGAGAGAACCCGAGGTAGAGCAAGAAGATGGAGATGTAGAAATGGACGACGTTGGTGATGATTTTCAAGCAGAAGAAGCTGAGGAAGACGAGGAAGAGGTCGAGCCTGAGTCTGAGCCCAAGAAGTCAGCTTCTAAGAAGAGAGCAAAGAAGCAACCAACTCGGCAATCCAAGCGCAGTAAGACTACTCGGGCATGATTTATGAATAGGGTAATGGAGTTTTCGAGGATTTGGTCTTTTCATATATGGTCGGATGGATACAACATGCATAGAAGAAGGCGTTGATCACTACATTGATTTGTTTGAATGCGAAGATTTACCCATTTACTTTGAACAGAATTATAACTTATAAATTCTATGAATTTGAATCAGGCTTTTTACATCATTATAAAATTGACGTCTGATTGTTCGAGCATCCTGCTTTACTAATTGCTTGTTACAATTTTTGATAATCCAATAATGTTCTTTTTTTAAAATACCTATGTATCTCGCCCATCTCAAGTGCTCAAATCCACATAGTCTTGCAGGTATCTTACTTCTATACTTATTACAGACTTGAAACCCATCTTTAAACCTAGACTTCTTCCCACGAGTAATACTGTCCGTCATGTACACGTGACACAGCATCTCCACGCGTCAACCTCGCGATTCCCATCTCTACTTTCACCTCCCACCTTGATTAGTCCATAACCACAACACCACAACGCCAAAAATACGAAACTCACTCCCAAAGACCAAAAAATAAACAAATAAAACAACCCACCGATCAAACTTCCCACTCGTCACCATCCAACATAAACCCTCGATATCAATCCGCATCGCACCATGCCCCCAAAGAAAATGTCATGACATCCCCCTCCTCATCCACATCTGCTCTCGCGCCCCTCTTACCGCCAAATCTGTATGAGCTCTCGCCTACCATCCATAGATGGTGCGCATTGCGGTGCGCGGATATCGTTTCTCTGAGTACTAGGGGGGTATATTTTGAAGGTTTGTTTTCCTCATTTATTCACCTTCTTGATACTTTTCTTCTCGATTTCCGACTCTCCATTTTCCTACCTCTTGTGGACCGGAGTTCGTCAGGATAAATCACATAATAGCGCCATCATATGAATAGAATCCCCGGCTAATTCCCCCCCCCCAAAACCAAAAGATAAACTCATCCACCACTACCTCAACCATCCCATCCGCTACATAAAACTCATCGGGCTGATCGTCTCCATCGATACTTTTGCGCGTCGGCGCGTCTACACTATCGATGATTCAAGCGGCGTGTGTATAGAATGCGTTGCCATCTTACCTCTTCCTCCCTCAGGAAACCCTCCTACCTCTCATGTCGAGCCCCCTCTCAACAATCCCCCCAACACCCCCTCCCTCACCACGCCCCAAATCCCCTGGACCGAAATCTCCGAATGCAAAGTCGTGCGCATCCTGGGGATCATGGGTTCATACATGCAAGTTCCGCAACTACAGATTGTCAAGATGGGGATAGTAGGGAGTACGGATGTGGAGAGGAAATGGTGGGATGAGTGTCGAGAACTGAAGGATCCGGAGAGGGGGGTATTGGGGAGGGAGTGGGTGGTGGGGAAGGAGGAGATGGAGAGGTGGAGGAGGAGGGAGAGGAGGAGGAAAGTGAGGGAGGAGGAGAAGAGGGGTAGGGGGAGAGATAGAGATAGAGGGGTGGTGAAGATGAAGAGGGATGCTGGGAGGAGAGAGGATACAGACAGAGTTGAAGAAAAACGAGAGCTGGCGAGGAAGAAATTAGAAAATTCCCAACCACGTCCTTCATCAACCAACTCCACCTCTACATCCAACTCCCACCCCTCCCGTCCTCCCCACGAAACCTCCCCCCACAAACCTCTCCCCCGTCCGCCCATCAAAAAAAGATTCATCCCCACTACCCTCCCCGACCTATCCAACTACGATACTTTTGGCTACTAATCCATACTTCTTTACCCGTTAAGAGGAACCTTTTTGAGGAGTACCCCTTTCCGGAAAAAGAAACACGCAAAACAACCCCCCCGAACCACGGATCCCGATGAATTATTAAATGTGCTTTATTTACTCACCTGAGCTATCATGTATGTCTATATCTGTATCTGTATCTGTATCTCCTTTCATCAGCAAATCCATTTCCATATCCATATCATGGATCTAAGACCCAAGATGCGAGATACAAGATGTGAGACGCGGGAAACAAGATAGTGGATATTGGATGTAGGATATCGATCACGAAACAGGGAATCCAAGACCCAAGATGTTAATATGACATAGCCTCTAGCCATCCGTCATCGGAGGGGCTTCAGCGAAGAACTCGCATCAGGATTAGAAATGAAGATGGAGGCGTCGAGGAGGAAGAAGAAAGATGGATACGATGATATCAAAGAGAGAATATGATGATGTGGAAGATACCATTAATACATTATTACTTCGGCGAAGATGTTGGATATGTCTAGGGAGAAGAAGAAGAAGAAGAGGTGACAAGGGGATAAGTAAGACATGTACTTATTGTCCAGAATTGTATACTTTTTAATGTCGAAATGAGTTATATATTTCAATATGCAAATTTACATACACATTCACAGATCTCTTCCCCCAAAATTCATTGTGCTCAACATATTGTATTACTCGCAAGGTATCTATCATACACAGAGGTAATGGCTTCGCAGCTCCGAGCTATTGTTACAATTCATCCATTGCCCCTCCTAGCAACCCTATGATAAACCCCTTCCCAAAACCCCATTATTTTCTGGTAAAACAAAGCGATGTTAAAATGTGCCGCCTTCTCCATCTCTCCTCCCTACGAATTCTCGATATCTATCTTTCATATCCAGCGCTAAAACGCCATTACCATAAATTGATACAATCAATACCAACCAACACACCAAACAATTTCCGATTAATATCCTGCCAAAGCCTTGACTGATCTGACGACAGTTCCTCCAATCTCACCTGCTCCAGCAGACTCATCTGGGTATACCAAAAATGCGAGGGCAATAATGATATAGAGACCAAGAAGCTATGTAAATATTAGCAAAATTGAAATATGGGTTCGATTCCAATCAAAACTTACCATGCAACCTTCCAAATAATTACTCTTGCCATCTTGAACAACATAAGTCACAACCAAAACACTCAAGAAGAAAACCACCGTTTCAAACGTCTCAAAATGTAAAGTCATGGGCTTATCCATGATCCAACCCAAGATCACGAGGAATGGAGTGACGAAAAGTGCAATTTGCATGCTCGATCCGATAGCTACACCCATTGCTAGATCCATCTTGTCCTTGACGGCAACCACAATAGCTGTTACATGCTCTGCTGCATTACCGACGATGGGAAGAAGAATAAGACCAACAAATGTTTTGGAAATATGGGCTTTCTCAACAATCGAGTCAATCGAATCAACCAAGTAGTCAGCACAGACAGATACCGCGATCGTTACAATAACGAGAACAACAGCAGCGGCCCATGGACCCATTTGTGGCACTTCTTCCTCCTCTCCTGCTGATTGGCTTTCGGCATCGAATAGGTTGGCATGGGTTCGAAGCTGGAAGAACAAATACAGACAGTAGAGAATCAATAGAATGATGGCTGTTCCGTGGGAGAGGATCAAAATGTTGTTTTCGGTGTCTGCTGACGATTTGCTGAGAACAGAATAGAGCTTTCCAAGAGTTAGATTTTGTTACCCGTATGTTGGATTTCAGCTTACGGTTGCAGGTATAATCAATGCGCATGCGGCAAGAACCATGAGAGATGACATTGTTCCCGCGACAGTGTCGTTGAACCTCTGCTCGATACCCATAGATGTACCAGTTCGAGTATTGTGAATTCCACCAGCAATAAAGCAGCATCCCAACACAAGAAGCGAGTTCGACAAGATACTACCCAACATACTCGATTGAACGATTCGGATTTGTCCTTCTTTCAAGGCTATAATACTGACCTGCAGGGTTCAATATTAGTAAGTAAAAAGTAAGACGTGACACCTGAACCTACAATGAGTTCCACAGCGTTGCCGAATGTTGCGTTCAGTAACCCTCCCAAAGTTTCTCCCAACTTCATGGATATTTCTTCCGTCGCAAACGAAAGGATGGAAGCCAATGGGATGATAGCGAAGAAGTTGAGTGTGAAGATGACGACCGGATCCCAGTGTGTGAGACCTGCGACGATACCCAATGGCACAAAGATCAACAGAACGTTGACATAGCTACTATACAAAGTAACTTTGCCTACATGCCATGCCGACGCCGAGTAGCTAACCATGACATTGTCGCTGTCGGTTCCTGGCGTATGCCTCTTGCTGAGAAAGAATTCATGAACACTGCTTTTACGCCTGTCTCCGGCATGTCCGTTGACGCCCAACAGACGCGAGTTTTCGTCTACTCCGTTTGACATATTTCCCGAGTTGATTCGATTGTTTTGTGATGGAAGGGATCTTACACGCGCGAGTTCCCTTCGGTATTTAGGTTGTGCTACATGTCAAAGAAGATATAACGTTAGCCCAGCCACTCCGTATGTATGATCGATATTGAAATTGCAATGCGCCGCAGCCGACTTAAGCTTTTAAGAAGGCCGCTTGGCAATTCGCTGGCAGATTGACAGGTGGGCCAAATATACCACGAAATTATAGAAATAAGGATTGAGGTATCGACAAGAGGCAAAGGAGTAGTACTTGGCTTCAAGCGTTCAAGTCTTTTGACTCGAGCAGTTGTCCTGTGATGGAGACGACACAAAGGTTATGTTGGGCTGTGTGATAGCATCCAGGTATAGAGCGCGAACGAGATATGTAACAAAGGGCTTGGATCAAAGACCCGACTGCAGGTGCCTGTATCAACTTCTTACTTGTAATACGGGATTGGCGAGTCGATAAATCATCAAACTCTCAAAGAAGAAATAATATGGTAGATTGGACTCGGAGATGAATATCTTCAAAAAAGAGAGCAAAGGAAGGAGGAGGAGGGAGGATAATTTGTTTACTTACAAACCATCTTGGCAAAATTCTCTCTTTTTCTTTCTTTTTTCTTCTGCAAATCAGAGAATGTCAATGCCTATGTGAAAGAAAAGCTCAGAATTTTTTTTTAGGGAAGAGGTTGCACGAAAAGGGTAATTGGATAAATGGGAAGAACAATTAATGGATGGGTTGGGTTGGGATGGGATCACGAAGGTTGGTTGTAACTTGTGCGCGTGGTTATGGAAACTCGGGCACACTTTTCGTAGCTTTGACGGTGCGGGCAGCGGGAAGAAAAGATTCAAGAATCCAGTCCCAGTGCTTTTTGCCAGGTGCTGCGCCTCCTTTTGAGTGGAGGAGGTTTGATCAAAACTTCTGGGTACAGGCGAGACTGGTGGCAGCTACCGAGATGACAGTCCCTGGTTTATGACGATGGTGAGGAGGAGGATGATGATGATGATGATGATGATGATGCACGTTGTAACTTGTTGTTGATCAAACCCTGTCCACAATGTTGATGAAAGGATGGAGTAAAGACGTTTCAAGAGAATTGTCGGATGTTTGGTTTGGATGATGAAACCGAAGAACCCCGTCACGACCCAGGGGAGGAGAGGGGAGGGGAGAGTGGAGAGTGGAGAGGGGAGAGGGGAGAGGGGAGAGTGGAAAGAAAGAGGGAAAGAGGGTAAGAGGGAAGGAAGAAAAGGCACGATATACGATATAATCAATGTACGAGAGTAACGAAGATGGAGGAAGAAGAGGAATTGGAATAACAAACGATGATTGAAAAGGATGAATCCCTCTTACCTAGATAGTTTGAGTTTCTCAGAAGCAAAAGTAATAAGTGAGTAAAGTAAGTAAGTCAGGACCCCAGTACCTGTATGGAACGAATCTGAATTGATGATGTGTGTGAATACCCGTATGTGGAACGTATGTATGTACTATGTATGTATGTATGTATGTATGTATGTATGTATGTATGTATGTATGTATGTGTATGTGTATGTAGGTGTAACTTTGATGATATGATTTTGGTGGCAGGGACGAAGATGTGAATGCAAATACCAATAAATGCAAATACAATATTGTCATGAAAGCATTTGGTCGTACTGGACTGTCCTTTCGAGAAAATTGCATACGCCAAGATATACCTATATTCAAACTTTCTGTTGCCAAGGAAAGAGCTCCTGTTGATGATATATGATAAATGACAATTGGACTTTTTCCTTGATCCTCATTCACTCGCACCGACAGAATGAGGACTAGATCAATTGTTTGACGTTGATGGTTTTGGTGTTTGGACCTTGTGCGATTCACGACTCATCATCGTCTGTATAGGAGGATGGAGAGATGGAGAGATGGAGATTTATATCAGATACTAGGTAACTAGGTCACTAGGTCACTAGGTCATTACCATTATCATAAATACATACTCGGTCGTAATCAATCCCATCCAATCGCTCCATCCAATTGTTCCTTCATCCATCCATCACATCTGAAGCATCGAAACCACGGTAGAAGCTATGACCAACCTTCATCACAATCTGACAGTAGCTATCAATCAATCAATCAATCAATCGAGACAATTCTACAAGCATCATCATCAGAAGTACTGACCAACCTATAAGAACAGGACTACAGTCATGTTATATTACTATTCGAGATAAGATAATTGAGGAGTGGAGTGGTATTTAATTATTGATGGAATGGGGGAATTTACTCCGGGGGATATACATTAGTCAAAGGAGAGAAGAACAAACAAGCTGTAACATCTAATTTGTAGTAAATAATGATGATATGTCCTGTAGGTCGATCACGATAAAGCTTGATATTAAGGTAGCTACCCAGGTATTGGAATGTAATAACACTCTTTTGAATGTAACCCAGCGTAACATTCATCACCAGTGACCCATTACCAGTGACCCATTCCATTACACCAAAAGAATGCACAGCCCCCTCACAAAATATCCGATTCACAATCCCTCCCAAATCA